CCCCAAAACCCCAAAACCCCAAAACCCCGTTCATTCATAACCTGGTAAATCAGGTAGAATGAAATAAAACTAGAAATAGCCCCATTTGATTTATAAAATGAAATGTTAATCAACTAAATTAAGAATATTAAAACAAACAACTACTATAATATAAATATAAATATAACAAATAATTCCAACAGCTAGTAAAATATCCACAAAATGAGAGAATAATCACACAGTGTAAGGAATGCAAACAACGAGAATCACTACCAGCCTCTGAAAAAGAATACGAGTCTAATAAGAAACTTTGGTCGAGATATTTCTAACTAGGTCAACAATCAGTCATTTGCTGGTGCCAGTTCCAATCTCTAATAAGATAAATTACTTAAACCAATCTCTTAACGGACACTTCCAGCATCGAAATCAATTAGAGATATTCATACTGCTTAACCCAGCTTAAATTAGAGAAAACCATATGATCTTTTGACTAGACAATAATCGTAGAAAAAATATATGGGCTAAAATCTTAGAAGTCTAAATGAATTCATTCAGAATGATCAAAAAGCTTAGGGAGGCAATTATCCGCAAAAGATGGATAAGTAAACTAGATTGGCTGAGTTTAAAAGATATTATGAGACTTACTATAGCTCAGCTAATCTTGACTTCCTTGATGTTGATCTTTTCGATATGTCAAATCCCTAAGCAGTTTCAGAATATGCAGCTGATTGCTTGAAGCATATGTAAAAAAATGAGTTAACCTATCATCCAAATCCTAATTGTCTAAAAAACTAACCTGATATCAATGCAAAAATGAGACTTATTTTGGTAGAGTGGTTAATTGAGGTTCATCTCAAATTCAAGCTATTACCTGAAACACTTTTCTTAACTATTAATTTGATCGATAGATATTGTACTAAAAAGCCAGTACTCCGAACTGAGTATTAACTTTTAGGTGTTACAGCCATGCTAATAGCCTCAAAGTATGAAGAAATATATCCACCCGAAATAAGGGACTTTGTTCATATTACTGATAAATAATACACTAAAGAGCAAGTTTTAGCTAAAGAATTCGACATGCTTTAAATTCTAGATTTCAATATTACAACTCCTTCAAGTTATAGATTTTTGGAGAGGTTTTCGAAAATTTGTTAAGCAGATAATGTGATTTTTAACTTATCCAGATACATCATTGAAATCACTTTAATTGAACTCAAACATTATAAGTGGTGCCCTTCTTTAATAGCTGCTACTGCTCTATATATTAGTCATAAGATTCTAAGAAGATAAAATCCTTGGTCTCCAGAACTCTAGTAGGCTACAGAATATAGTGAGACTCAAATTAGAGCGTGTGCCAAAGATCTTTGCATTTATTACAATTTAGCTTGCGAAAAGAAAAGAGGTTATGAAGTCTTATACAAGAAGTTTTCTCTCCCCAAATTTCTTGAAGTTTCCAAGATAACTGTAACTAATAAATCAAGCTCCTTAAACACCAATCAGAGCAATTATCAAAATGATATCTCAGCCAACGACTAAGAAAATCTAAGGCACTGAGCATCAGTAGCAAACTCTGAATCATAGTTAAAATTATGATAAGGAAAATGGCCCTTTTTACATATGCAAAGACCTTAAAAGGTCGATAATTAAAATACTTGATAAATTAATTTGCTTTTTTAGCATTTGTATCATTATATATTTTGCATTAAGGGGTTTTGGGGTTTTGGGGTTTTGGGGTTTTGGGG